CTAAATTCTTCCAACACCACTATCTTAGTGGGACATCAAGAGCAATTGAGTTTCAATCTAGTGAATCAAGAGGGAAAAAATGAGTCTATGATCTTGAAAAAAAAGACCCATTACTGAAAAATAAAATAAGCAAACTAGTAGCTACTTAAGGGGAAGGGGTGGTGGGCCATACAACCAACTGAGCAATTTTAGTTTCTCTTGCTCTCTGCTCTCTCTCTCTCTCTCTCTCTCTCTCTCTCTCTCTCTCTCTCTATCTCTCTATCTCTCAATTGATGCATATGTTTATACACACAAGCACATTAGAGTTCTTTAACAAGGTATCAAAATTCTCAGGCTTCATTCATACTGGAGCTTTGTCTTCCCAAGACAAATAGCATTTCAGAGTTTCCATTTCAGTATTTCACAAACTGTGCTCTGGGAACGTTTGTGCATTAAAATGATAGGAGGAAGGGGCTTGCTAAGATATAGTTTTCTACAACCCACTTCTTATTAACTGAATCAAAATCTCTTTGGGGATGGCGTCCCCAGAATCTTATTTTAAAAAGCTTCCCAAATGATGCCTGTGTATCCTGAGATATGAGAAGTACAGTCCTTGAATTTTAGAGTTTTGCTGGGATTTCTAAGTTGTAGTGTTAGATATTCTTATATCTCTAAGTAAGATAAACTTTCTGTAAACTCCGTGAGCTTTTCATGAGTTAAACATAATCTTTAGTCCTGTGGGTCAAACTCTTCTGAAGTTTTATGACAAAGGTAGCTATAAGAAGAGTCTTATCATCTAGAAATTTTTCATATTTAAGAGTAGTTACTCTAGGGGCTGGAGGGATAGCACAGTGAGTAGGGCATTTGCCTTGCACGCGACCGACCCCGGTTCGATTCCAGGATGCAGTATGGTCTCCTGAGCACTACCAGGAGTAATTCCTGTGTGCAGAGCCAGAAGTAAACCCTGTGCATCTCCAGGTGTGACCCAAGAAGAAAAAAATAGTTACTCTAAATAGATCACATAGGATAAGTAAATTTCATTACAGCCAACTTCTGTGATTATAGCAAATAATTCAATATGATTTTGTTATAAGGGAACAATTCAAGAACTAACATGATAATTAAAGATCCAACTGAAATTAATCATAGTAAAATGTTACAAAAACTCATTACAGTTGTATTTTCTTCCAAATAAACACCTCTTCATAAATAGGGCTTTATATCTATTCCAAGAGAATCAATCAGAAGTCAATGTAAATCATTTAACTTGTCCATCAGCAACACAAAAATGTTGAATTACAGTTCTAGGCATTTGAAGAAATAATATTGGTTTGTCCTTTCCGTTCTCCCCCACAGGGAGCTTAGGTTTATTGAGTTACTCCCACCACAGTGCTCCCTAGCCATATACACCCAATTCCATCAGGCGCTTCCAGTCCTCTGTGTTTATCTTTAACCTCTCCTTTGTGCTCCTCTTCCCCTATCTGTTAATCACGTATCCACAAATCAGACCCTGTAACTTGTAAGGTCAAATTCCTTTGAGGGCTCTTGATTTTTGTATATGTAAGTGAAATATTGCTTTTCTCTTTCCTCTACTTTCTCTGCGTAGTTCATTTTAAAGCAAAGTCCTTTTGTATAGACACAGGAAGACATTCTTTACGGTAATGTTCAACCACACCTATGTGTAATTGCTACTCCCAACCCTTCATGATTCCTCTATAACTAACGGTGTGAGATTTGAGTAAACAGCCACTGATTACCAACCATCCTGGTGGCTCCCATTCCTTCATTTGTCTGTCACTGTCGGCAGGCTGGGGGTGGGAGGTGGGAGCGAGACAGTGATTCGCCCCCAAATGCACCAAGCGAACCCTCAGTTCCCATGGGTGGGCTGGTGACACCAAGGCACAGCAAGACAAAAGGAATGGAGCAGGATGGCCTCATTTTTGAACTAGAAGAGTCCCTGGGGGTCATGAACTGGCTCCTTCTGCTATTGATGAAGAAGCCAAAGACCTGCCACACCGGGGTGACAGAACAGAAAAAACACTCCAAAGCTCTTCCTGTCCAGAACCTTCTCCTACTGGGCTAGATGGAGTCCCCAGAAATAACTCAGCAGACTCAGATGGTCCTTTACAGGTAATTGGGAGCACCCATTGTTTCTAAATAGCAGATATTCACGCAGTAAAATATCATCCATATAAGACATAATTTGAAACAAACGTCACTTAGTCAAGTCACCTTGAGTTGTTCATTCCATCTCCTATGAAATTCAGGTTACATGGCAGAAATATTTGAAAAGCCCAGTGTGATGCTAACTTCCCTACCAAAATGTGACATCTAAATGAAGAGAGAAAATGTAACCCCAAAGCAGTCATGTGTAATTACCTGATGCCAATCTGTAAAGATCCGGTGTAGCAGAGGATAAATCAAGCAAGGTTGTTAAATTCTTCTCAGATGATTGACTGAATACCAGCTAGAGACCTATGTGCAAGTTTCATTTATTCATTCTGAAATTTCTGATATTCAACAGATAAATACTGAGCACCAACTAAGAGCTGCAAGCTTTTGACATTCCCACACAATACTGAGATAAAAAGATAAGAGAAGTAAAAGTAAAGTCCTAATTATAGGCTTTATTACAGGCTATCAAATCAGGTGCTACCATCACAATTTCTCACCTAGGTTGAAACAAGGTTTTAGAATGAAAACAGCATTGGACTGAGATGCAAGGAATGGCCAAGAATTTACCTAGGAAAATAGCAGGAAAATAGGGTATTATTCCAGATAAGGGAAATGGCATTACATAGAGATATAAAAGAATAGAGTACTCAGGGGCTGGGCAATAGCACAGCGGGGAGGGCATTTGCCTTGCATGCGGCAGATCCGGGTTTGATTCCCAGCATCCCATATGGTCCCCTGAGCACCGCCAGGGGTAATTCCTGAGTGCAGAGCCAGGAGAAACCCCGTGCATTGCCGGTTGGACCCAAAAAGAAAAAAAAAAAAGAAAGAATAGAGAACTCAAGTAAGGCGCTGAATAAAAAGATCCAAAGAAAAACAGTATTACAGAGACCAGAGTGTTCCAGAGGCCAGACAGCACAGGGCTTAAGGCACTTGCCATGGATTCAAGCAGAGCCTGCAGTTCACTTCCCAGCACCACACAGAGCTCCCGAGTACCACCAGGAGTGAGCACTGGGCACAGAGCCAGGAGTGATCTCTGAGCAAAGAGCGAAGAGTAAGCCCTGAGTACAGCCAGGTGTGACCTACAACTGCTAAATAAATAAATAAAGTTTTAAAACTAGAGATCATACTCTCTGAAAAGGAAGGGAAACAGTGTTACAGATATCAGGTGTGTGTGAGAGGGCAGGAATGAGAGCTCCAGCAATGAAGACAAACATAAACTATCTCCCATAATTATACACACACCCATTATATATATATATATATATACTGTAGCACTGTCCTCCCATTGTTCATCGATTTGCTCAAGCAGGCACGAGTAACGTCTCCATTGTGAGACTTGTTGTTACTGTTTTTGGCATATTGAATACGCCACGCCTCAGGGAACTTGCGAGGGGGTGGGTGGGATTCTCTCGGTAGCTTGCCAGGCTCTTCAAGAGGGACAGAGGAATTGAACCTGGGTCGGTAGTGTGTAAGGCAAATGCCCTACTGGCTGTGCTATCACTCCTGGACATCATATATATGTATATTATGTGACTTTCCTTGAGGAAAAGACTCCAGAAGCTAGAGGTTAGCTACTACCCTTGAAACTTCCAACCAGAAGAATGGTCACTGCCCTTTTTCTCTGTCTACAGTTCTCAGTCCTCTTCCAGGAAGAATGCCTGGATTTCCATAGCTCTAAGAGAGCCTGTGAAAGGCGCAAAGGCGAGGTGTCTTAATGACAAAATTAAATAGGAGAAAAGCATTTCCCAGGTTTCAGCATAACTTTTTTCCCTTTTACAAGTCTTTGATACTGAGATCACATATTTTGGGGTTTGGCCACTTAGTACCTGTACTGCAAACATAACACCCAAAGGGAGAAAGAGAGAGTAAGAGAGAATGTGTCTGTCACAGACGAAGGGGGTAGGAAGGGGTGGGGGTGGCAGGAAGGATAATGGGGACATTGGTAGTGGGAAATGGGCACGGGTGGAGGGAGGGGTGCTCAATCATTGTATGACTGAACCGTACTCACTAAAGTGTCTAAGACTGTAACTGTATTTCACGGTGACCCATTAAAAAAAGAAGAAAGAAAGAAAAAGTGAGTGAGGGCCGTGGGTCCATTTTCCACGACAAACTGGGGACCGTCGGGAAGCCAACTCCCTTTCAGCTCTCAGGATATCATTTTTTTCCCCTTTTTTTCCCCTTCTTTTCCTTTTCTGGCTTTGTTCTGGGGCCGCACCAGGCAGCCCTTACTCCTGACCCTGTGCTCGGGGATCAGTCCGGTGGCGTCGGGGGAACCATCTGGGATGCCTGGCACGCATGAGAGGTTGGCGCCTGCACGTCAAGCGCCCTGCCCGCACAGCTGCAGCACTGTCCCTCCAGCCCCCACCATTCGGCCAGTTTTATTGCGGGCCCCCCCGGCCGACGCTAGACTAAAGGACCAGAGTAACTGAGTTTGCTCTGGCTCTCCCGACCTACAGCACCGACAGGCGACCGAGTTCCAGGCTATTTCCAGGCTGCAGATGGCACCAGGAAAAACGGAGAGGCTCCAAGGGGGAGGGGGGAAGCGGATCCCGCGGTTGGTGGGGACGCAGGAGGCAGGGCCCTGAGCAGGGCTGCTCGCTCCCTGGGGTCTGGGGTGGTGGCTGGCGTCCCTCTGTCGGCGAGGCAGACGCCGGGTGGTGCCGAGCGCGCCTTGGCACCCGCAGTCTCCAGCCGCGCGCGCCGAGAGCGCGAGGAGCGGCGGGGCAGGGCGGGCGCAGACGGGGCGGGCGAGGGGGCGCGCCGGGGGCGGGGGCGGCCCGAGGGGCAGGGGGCGGGGCGCGGGCCGTACTTGGGGGCCGCGCAGGCTGGGCTTGGGCTCCCCAGCGATGAGCCTACGGTCCCACGCGCCCCGGCGGCCGCTGGCGCTGGCGCTACTGCTGCTGCTGCTGCTGGCCCGGGCGCTGCCGGGAGCACCGTGCCCCGAGCCCTGCGTGTGCCCGCCCGACGGCGCCCTGCGCTGCCCCGGCCCGCGGCCCGGCCTCCCCCGACTGTGAGTACTCGCGGCCGCCTGCCGCCCGACGCCTTCCTAGGCCCCTTTACCTGGCAGCTGGGAGAAAGACACTCGCCCGCATCAACCTCTGCAAAGGTCGGGCACGGGGCCGCGCCTGAGGCTGCAGCCTCCAGGGCCTGCGCCCCCGCCCCCAGGGCCCCTGGCACACCGGCACCCTCGCCCCGGTACCCCTGGTTGCACCGCGCGCAGAAGCAGAAGGAGAAGTTTCGCCCCCCTGCGCTCCGGAAGGGCCCCGGGCAGCAGCCGGCCTTGGAGCCTCGGCCAGCCGGCGCAGAAAAGGTTCCCGCGGGCTCTGTGGTCGGAGTGCGGTGACCAGCCTCACCCAACTAGCGCCCACCTGCACCTTCACCTGCTGAGCCCCCCGCAGATCCCACCCCTCCTCCAGGCTGAGTTTGCATTCTGCTTGCCTAAGGCTGGGGTGCGCCAGCCACCCCCTTCCACACACACACACACCCCCCCAGGGACCTTCGGGAAGACAGGGGCATCAGCTGGGCACCGAGCTCTTTACTGACTGTCAGGGTGTAGCGGACAGCCTGAGGGTGTCCCCGCTTCACTTTAGACGAAAGCAAGAGGGGTGATGCTCGCAGGCTCCGCTTCCAGGAGAGGCCCTGAGTAACAGCTGATTCAGAGTTGGCAGATTGGGCCAAAGCCCTGGGCAGTTCATGGATGTCGTTTTTTAATGGTGATGAAAATTGTGTAAGATTAGACTGTAGCACCGGCCGCACATTGTAAAAGCCACTGCAGTGTACACATCAAACAGGTGCTGGTCATGGTTCAAGAATTACAGCTCCAACGGCTGTTAAAAGGGAAAAGGAAAGGGAAAGAAGAGTGAGGGGCATTTTTTACAAGTTGCCCCAAGGACCCGTGCTGTTGCAGCCCTTTCTGGTGATGGAATTCCATGCGGGGAGATGAGGGAAATTCCAGCCGGCACCCTAGCCTCTACAGCCAAGGACCCTATTCCCCCAGGGCCCTGCTCCCCTCCTGAGGGGCTGTGCCTCTCCCTTGGAAGGCTGAGTGGCCTGGCAGGATGATTTGTGGTTGACAGGACCATTTAAAGGATGAGGAGGTTTGTGTTAATTAGATGGTGCTCTGTAAATTAGTCAGCTCAGTTGCCTTTAGGAAGAACCTGACCAAACAGCTGTCCAGGCCCAGGTGAGCTTCCCATGGAGTTTGTGAATGGCTGTACCTGCCATCTCTCTCTGCGAGGAGCACCCCAAACAGGAGAAACGGGGGGGGGGGGGGGGGGGGGGGGGGAAGGGGCGGGGGGGGCACAACATGAAGCCCCTGCCCAAGTGCCCGCAGGTACAGAGAACAGAGGAGTTTGTTGACTTTGCTTTCAGCTGTCTGCATAAGGAAGGCATCCCCTCCTTGCTGCATGACTGATATGTAAAATAAGTAATATACAACCCAGCTTCAACTGCTGGACCAACTCCCTGATTCAAGGTAAAGGTAAAGGTAAAGGCCTGATTAAAGGTAAAGGTAAAGGTTGATCGTCGATTTGCTTGAGCGGGCCCAGTAACGTCTCCATTGGAGACTTTGTTGTTACTGTGTCTGGCATATCGAATACTCTCGGTAGCTTGCCGGGCTCTCCGAGAGGGGCGGAGGAATCGAACTCGGGTCAGCCATGTTGGCCGCTTGTAAGGCGAACGCCCTACCGCTGTGCTATCGCTCCAGCCCTGATTAGATTTTTTAAATTGTGTGTGGGCGACTGAACCTATTCCTGGACCAGGTAGCCACATTCACAGCCATGCGACACTTCATACCACACACCCTACCCATACTCCAAGAGCACCACCACATCTGATGGGGTAGAAGGCAATCAGTCTTAGAGGGAAATATTTTACACACACACACACACACACACACACACACACACACACACACACGAAAGCACACAAGGCTTAAACCTCTAACAATATGTTAGTGATCTCTTACAGAAGGGCTTGATGCCCCCTGGGTGAAATACAACAATCTTCACACTCTTTCCTCTAAGGAAATTTTTATAGCGTTTTCAGTGGTTTTTTATGACAAACAATACAAAATATATTATTTCAGTTCTGCTTTGGGTCAGGGGTTGGGGTTTGGGATGGAAACATCCGAATATGGTGGTGGGAAGGTGTAATGGTGATGGGATTGGTGTTTAAATATTAAATGTAATCAGATATTATGAACTACTTTATAAAATAAAAAAATTAAATAAAGCTGAGGGGAGGGTGAGGTTAAGGGGTCACTCCTAGTAGGCTCAGGGAGCCAAGGATGAAACCCAGGTTGGCCGCATGCAAGGCAAGTGCCCGATCCACTGTACAGCTCTCTGGACCCTCCCTGATTTTTTTTAGCTTCCAATTATCACTGAAATCTTACTGTGATCCTGGCTGCCACAGCCCTCTAGTTTCTGGAGGGTCCTGCTTGCCTGAAGAAAGAAGCTAAAAGAAAACAGACCCCTTCCCCACTGCACCCAAGCATACTTCCGAGCTGCCGAGAAAGAACTGGGAACTGTGTCAGAGGGTGTTGGCGCCTGCGGCAGCCTCGCAGACAGTGTTACAGCACATTCATACTGCAGCTCACTAGCCACAACCTCAGAGGAACGGGGTCAACTCTGCAGCCCTTGGGGTTCCCCGCCCCCCACACACCCTCTGAGCACTCACACCCACGCATCTTTCCCGACACTGAGGTTTCTTAGGCCAGCAGGCACGTGACTCTCACGAGGCCGAGCTCCCTGACTGGGACCCACACAACACAAGCAGGTCCCCATCCCTCAGGTGAGAATCCTGGGAAGGGGAAACCGTGGAGGCCAATCCAGGGTCCTTCTCTTCAGTGTCACACAGTGACTTGTCCATCCATAGGGCAAAAGAAATGCAGAGAAATAATAGGAAGGTATTTATTTAGTCGCTTTAAGGCAATATGTCTTAAAGCGTGACCCCAGACCAATAGCTCAACCTCCCCAGGGAAATGTTAGAAATGCTCATTCCAGGGCCCCAGCCCACACTGCCGGGTGAGAAATGCTGGGAGTATGGCCTAGCACAGCGTTCTACTACCTTTCACACCTATGGGCTGGCACCTGCTCTGCCTACTGGTCCTGCATTTAGAACCAGGCAGTAGTCCAGCAGTCAGCAGTCTTCCCATGCCTGTGGACTAGTAGCAGTCCTTGGCCCTAGCAATCTATGTTCTAAGAAGCTCCCAGGTGATTCTCATGCATATTAAAAATGTTTGAGAATTCAGGTATTGGTCTCTATGAGGGTATCATCTTCTGGAGGGCGAGAAATATGTTTCCAACTTCCATGTACCATGAACTCCCTTCCCATGGTGCCACCCAACCTTACACACACATGCACGCGCACACACACACACATACACACACACACATACACACACACACCCTATTTGTGAATAAAGCAGTTGTAATCAAACAAGCCTCCCCACCCCAATTCAGAGATTCAAGAAAAAAAGAAGATAGAGGAAAAGGTCTGAGCTTTCTACGTGTGTGTGTGTGTGTGTGTGTGTGTGTGTGTGTACAAGAGTAGAAGGAATTCCGGAGTACAGACTGATTATTCAAGGGCAAATATTACTCCATGGAGGAAGATAAATGGGGTGCAAGCATCGGTCTCAGAGCATGGGGGGAAATTTCATCTTGGAAAGAGTAAGAGAACGAGTCCTGGAGGAAGAGGATGAAAGAGAAATTTTCTCCCCATTGAGCAAAGGACAGAAAAAGTCAATGGGTGCATTATAAATTCCTCTCCTAGATAAACAGAGAAAATGGCAAACATAATTACAGGATAGAAAACGCTAGGAACAGCCTACAGAAGCTCATTCTGAATGAACCGAAATGCTGAGGTGAGGTTTCTGGAGAAGAGAGTAATTCTCGCACCATCCCACCTTTAGGGTCTGACTGCAGGTGGGGGGACAGGACGTGGGTGTTCAGAGCCAAGGACTGCTGTGCCCTAAAAAATTTACCATCAGCCAGTCAGCAGATGCTGGTTTATGCTTTCATCATTTCAGGCTCTGGCAGCCCTACCTTCTGACTTACATCTAAATCTCACCATTTGATTTTAAAAGGGGGGAAAAAAGGATATTATGGATTATAAGTGTTTAAAGTTTGTCAGCTCCCTCCTTGCACATTTGAAAATGACATCATTCAATCATTCATATTGATGCTTCCATATTTTACTGAAAATGTAGGTGTTTGAAATACAAAACGTGATATGAATACATATTTTTCCTCTCATAAATTCACCCATTTGAACTTGAAATTTAAAAGTAAAACAAAAGAATTAACTTAAAATTTTTCTTCCCTTTTCTTATTAATTCCAGACAACTAGAAGGGAGAGAAGAAAAAAAATATATCACCTTGCCCATGGTTATATAAAGATCTTTGTCTCTATGACAACAGAAAGGTTGATCTGCTTGATATAGAAACAGCTTCTGAAAAATCTGTTAGTAAGAAAATGCTAATAATAATTATGGCAATTTATTTTTTGCATGTTGTGCCTACTGAGCAGAGATTCAACTTTCATACTTTATTATAAGACACAATCCGGAGACGTTGAAAGGATAAAGTGTGCTGTATTCATCAGTCCAATGTCGCTAGAAGATGTTAGCCTCTTGACATCCTTCCTGAATGACTTTCTCCCACCACTTTTGGCAGCAATCAGGGTTCTGAACAGCAGTCAGTTGGGGGATGCTGCGGTTTTGTCCTAAGAACCCACGTTAGAGAGGGAGACATATCTGAGAGTGGTGTGAAAGGGCCAAGAAGCAACAGTGATTTAAGGAATTCAGAGAACAGAGCAATCATTGTGCACTGACCCCTCCAAGAACAGGCTTTATGGTCAAGGTCAAGAGGTTGTTGCAGGGGCTAGAGCAATAGTACAGCAGGTAGGGTGCTTGTCTTTTGACCCGGGTTCTATACCCAGCATCCCTGATAGTCCCCCGTGCTTGCCAGGAGTGATCCCTGAGTGCAGAGCCAGGAGTAAGCCCTGAGTGCT